CTGCTACTAGTTATGTTGTCATTGTGGCCCTAACGGCCTTCTGGTCTAATTGATCGATTCCATATGTCAAAATCTTAGGGTTACCCAACCACGCCTAAACACGATTACCACATGACCAATTGTAGCCTTATATATATCAAGCACCCTTAAGCAATCCATTGCTCTCTTGCCCTCATAGTTGTAGGGACGTTCCAACTGTCGTATCGCTGGCTCAACCATATCTAAACCATGTGGGAAAATTTCGAAATCCAATCCGTGGATTTCCAATCCTCATTGCTGCACCCGAATTGGTGGTTACTACTGTTCCTCTCGCGTCCTAGCAACACGCTCATGCTATCTACCAACCTTTGTATGATACGGCTACACCCGCAATCTCACACCACTCTATCACTATCTGGTTGCTAGTGAATGATACGGCTACACTTGCAGACTTATAACACACTATCACTATCTGGCTGCTAGTGAATGCTACGTCTACACCTGCAGACTTACAACACTCTATCACTATCTGGATGCTAGTGAATGCTACAGCTACACCCACAGACTCACAACACTCTATCACTATCTGGCTGCTAGTGAATGCTACGGCTACACCCGCAGACTTACAACACTCAATCACTATCTGGCTGCTAGTGAATGCTACGGCTACACTCGCAGACTCACAACACTCTATCACTATCTGGTTGCTGGTGAATGCTACGGATACACCCGCAGACTTACAACACTCTATCACTATCTGACTGATTTCCCTTCATACTCAAGATTACAAACCCTTCCTAAGTTTAGCATGCTACTTTCCTTGAATACATCAAGGGTTCTACCCCACTTTGATTCGGCTAATTTCATACAGCTCACAGCTTGAAAAGGATTCCCCATCCTTCCTATCATCTAAAGGGTCGATTCGCTATCAACCAACGTTTACCTCTGCTGGCGCTTTAACTAACCCTTTATCGGACCTAAACCAATCTTGTCAACTAATTGAGTACCTTTCAATCCCCGGTTGTTCCTGCTTCAGTGACTGCATCTTAAGAACTTGTGCTTAAGGGGGAACATCTTCGAACTATTGTCCTATCATCCTCTGGTTACTCCACTGGGAACTCACGCTTACCACTGCTGAGGAATAACCGATCTATACCCAAATAACACCTCCCCGAAAATAGCGAGACACTACAGAGTCTCATTCATACTGGCTACAGTTATTGCATTCGAAGTAACTTGCTCTACAAGGGACGTCCTCAACTATCATTCTAAAATCCAAAGTATGCAGATGTCATATAACTCAATCACAAGTCGGTAATATAATACTCCAACACATATGCTAACTAATATCAATGCAGGAACAAAACAATTGAGTCATTACAAAGGAAGAATTCAAACGACATACCTGCGACCTAGTGCGGCTCGATCTTGACTTCCTGCGGAACGATGGGCGCCTGAACCTGAACTCTCCCCATCACCAAAACAGGACAGGAAGACTTGAAATGACCCAGCTGGTGACAATGAAAACATATATGATCCTTCTTACAATCCCGATACATATGCCCCCTTTCCCTGCACTTGAAACACCTGAACTTGTGACAAGCAAACCCATGAGTCCCTCCACACTTACCACACACCTCAAGGTCTTCCCGACTCCCAACGCCCAAATCAGTTGGGCATGACTCATCAGTTCTTCCCTATTGTCCTGAAATAAGTGTTCGCTTCCTTTTACTGAGATATCCATCCAAACCAATCTCTTTCTCCCGAGCTACCCCGACTACCTCCTTATCCGCATGAATACTCGTTGTCTGACCCTGAAGCCTAGAAGTTAGCCTATCTGTAACATGACCAATATTTTTGGGTAGCTCTGTGCATACCGCTCGCGACTCTACTGTGAACAACTGACAAGCCCTACTTCCCACCGCAGGTGCCTCTACTCGGCCCTGACGGTCGTCGGTGATCCTCAAAGTGGGTAGGGATAGCTGATATCATCTGTCCTGCCGGAAACAAACTCGGACACTTGGCCTTCCTGTGGCCCCGCTGTCTGCAATGGAAACAGATCAGATCTGACCCCTGAGTGGTGGTAGTGGTACAATCTCTGCTAAAATGACCAGTCCGACCACACTTGATGCAACCAGAGTCACCACCACTACCACTCCTACACGCTCCCTCATGGGTATTGCCACACTTCCCGTATCGGGTGCGACCCTGATAATACCTTGATCTCGAATTTGATCCCCTGGGCCATTTTCCCGTACCCGTGGCTGTATGAAACCTCATCCGGCTTCCTCTTCCTAATCTGCTCCAGGTCAATCTCCCTCTCTCTGGCCCGAGAAGTCATATCCTCCAGCGTTTTGCAACTGGACCTGCTTACAAACTGCTTGATGTCACAACTCAACATTTCGTGATACTGGTCTTTCTTCATCTCCTTGTCTGCCATATACTGCAGAACAAGAAGAGCCCTCTCCCTGAACTTGGCAGTGATCTCTGCCACAGTCTCAGTCGTCTGCTGAAGGTCCTGGAACTCCTCTAGTAACTGATGCACCTTAATAGCTAGTGCAAACTTAGTCCTGAACTTGGTTGAGAAATCACTCCATGTCATCGCGTCCAACGCGGCACCATCCCCCAAGGCATGAACAACCTCCTCCCACCAATCTTGTGCTCTGTCCTCCAGAAGACAAGAGGCGAGTCTGATCTTATCCCCCTCGGGACACCGGCTCGTGCGGAAAGCGATAGCGATATCAGCCAACCACCCGCTGCTAGAAATGGGATCTTAGCCCCATGATAATCTGATGCCCCACAAGCTCTGAACTCCCAAAAAATCAAAGTATGCACCACTATCAACATCATCATCTCCGTACAAAAGGCTCCGAGCCTCTCATCCAAAATCTCTAGTATACCCTCCTTGACCGTGCCAAAGATCACAGGAGTCTGGTCTAAGATACTACGCGTGATATCAGTTGATACAAACTCTCTCATACGCTCCTCGAGCTGCTCGGCCCCTGAACCCGAGCCTGGACCTGATCCCTCTCCGGCATTCGAACTGCCGACTGGTGGCCTTTCACGCAACGTCACCATGTTGAAAGCATATCACAATAAATATCAAAATACACTTTACTGCTGAGGGATTACATATACACACTACAAGTTCCCTGGTTTTGTCTTGGCCCCTCTTGAATCGAGTACGGATCCTCTACTTTAAGTAGTACCGGCCCATACTACCTTCCACATCTATCCGTACCTTCCTTAAGAATAGCCTTGACTCCACCTAGTCTCTTTCACTACTACTATTGCTCCCAACACTACTCTCATCCAAGGCTTGAACTAGGGTAATCTCTGATTCCACCCAAACCAGTTCTTAATTGCTGACACTACTAGAAAAATAGCATTTTACGTCGCTCATTGCGCGTCGTAAAAGGCTCAGACGACGCGCAAATGCGCGTCAAGGAAGGCCTTGTTATAAAGAGAGACGACACGCTTTTGTGCGTCGTCTATACACGACGCACATTTATGACGCGCTTTTATGACACGCAATGCGTATCATTAAAGCCGCTGTCAAGAAAGGCCATGTCATAAATGAAGATGACACACATTTTTGCGTATCGTAATTTTAGTTTTTTTTTAAAAAAAATATATTTATAGATTTACTAATTTTCAAATTAAATTTGCATTTCATGTGTCATAATAAAAAATAAAATATCATATACAAAAAAATACAATCCATTGCACAAAAGTTAATGTCATACAAATAATCATTCCAATAATAGACAAATGTAATACATCAAATGTGAAATAGATGAAAGTCATCAACAAATAATAGTTGAACTACAAGAACTTGTTGCCCACCTTCACAACACCCCAAGCTACTTTGCTTGACACTATGCACATCAACAAGACCTACAAATTTGAATAATGCAACCATTAGAGTTCAACTTTTGGCTAGCACTCCAACAGCCCTACTGAAAAATAATCTGATAAAGGTGGCTAATACCAACAACAGAAGCTTCAATAATCACCTTGAAACAAATATATACAAACTACTTACAGTTAAACAATGAAGGGGATCGGATATGTATGGATGCTTGGGGGAATAAATCCCAGGTACAGATGCAACCAAATGTCCGGCAGCAATGCTGAAATCAAACTTAGCTAATTCCAATATCTAATGGGCTTGATCAGGAGCACGAACTAACAAAGTTGCCATGAATCCAACAAGTTGAGCAGCAAAATCGGAGTTTGACTCCCTTAAAAGAAGAAAGATCTTCCAACAATAGTGATTCCCTGTAATACAATAAATTGGATGGTGATCACAAATTAGGAAAATTGATAACTATCAACTAGATTCAAGTAAGCCAATTAAAACAAGAATTCAATCTAGTTATTTTTCCTACTTGTAATGTTCATCAAGTTTTAACTAGTTATCATTTTTTATTCAAATACTAATAATCATCATTTAATTCTGGGGTCAAATTTACCCTACAAAATGGAAGAAATAATTAATAAAAGAAAACCTTAATGAATAGTTAAATCACTTGCATATTCCTCTAGAGTTGGCATCTTGTTTCCAAAGCTCCTACCCACAACTTATGCACTCTCCCCAACCATTCTAATCACCTGCTCAACAAGTATAAACATTGCACATAAGACAAGGGTATTTTTGGCACATGAAAAATAAAGCTAAGCACACATGACTAAATAACACCAAAGGTAAATATGGAAATCCCAACAATGTTCCACTTCCATGAGATAATGCAAATTTGAGACGCGATGCCTAAAGAGTGGTTCAAGGCGAAAAGAGGGAACACCAGTCTGCCATCTTTTAACCTCATACATCTCATTCCATGCTTGAACGATTTCATCAATTTTATAACCAAGACCTAAAAAACACTCATACAAAACATTCAACTTTGGACTAAATTAAGTAAAAATCAGAAAAGCACAAGGACTTTTTTGTTATTAAAGGAGGAGCATGGAAGGATGGATACTAGATATTAGATATTAGATATTAGTATTACTTACAGCTATGAAGCTTTAGAGTCCATTACTTGAAAATATGTCCTTCTCGATCCAAGGCGCATGGCACCACCCATATGAGTTTTTGAACCCTATTATCATTCGTATTGTTATTATAAATGATGACTGAATAGTTTGTTATATTATATTAACAAAGAATAAGGCGACAAACCTTGGGGATAAATATGACACAAGGATTTTTAGTATTTAGATCGAATTCGGTGCTATTTGCATTTTCAAGACCAAGAACAGATCTGGCATACTCTATGACAGCAATTTTCATTCCTAAACAAATGCTAAGGTAGGGTATATTGTTCTCACGTGCATATTTTGCTGCAATGATTTTCCCTTCTACACCTCTATCACCACCCCCCCCCCTCCCGGAACAAGCACACCATCCACCGACTACATCATCACACCAAATCACACTCTAAAACCATTAACAATGCCATTATTATAATTTTTTGTAAAATTTGTTTTTCTATCCAGATGATATTTGATATAATTGTCCCAGATGTATCCTTTTATTTATCTGTGCAGTCTACTTTGATTTTTTTATTTTTTCTCTTTCTCTTTCAGCCAGTTTTCTTCTTATGTACTTTGAAAAAAGGATACCCGATCATAACAGTCAAAATAACTAGGAAAGTAAAATGTAAGTAGAATTCTATATGCTTTAAACCCTTGTCTAACTAACATACACACACACACACACATACACATACGAACCTTCAAATAATTCCAAGCAGCTCTGTGAACATCAGGATTCTGTATAAAAACAAAAAAGATCCAACATGACCAATAAGTTTCAAGGACATGCATTGCATGATAAAGAAAGAGAAAAAGAGAGATGGAGTGGATAGTAACTTCTATGGCAGTTGCTTCTTCAAGATCACTGGCAGACACCCAATTGATGAGTAATTTCCTTCGGCAAGCAACAGAAGCATGCAACAGAGCCCAAATGAGTAATCAGAACTTAGTATGCCACCAGTAGATGCATCAGTTTCAGAGGGAGAGATTACTAGACGTGATTGTGTGGATATTAGTGACTGCAAACATATGATAGCCACAATGGTATAAAGGTCAAAACACAAAGGTTTTGTAGAATTATAATGTAGAAAGTTTGTTTAAAAATATAAACTTACAAATAGTTCATTCATGTCACTAGATGCCCTAAGTCTTGCCCTTTGTTCAAGTGAACAAACCAAGAGAACAAAACCAAGAAGCATGACCTGCATGCTAAAAGAGAGCAGCCCTTAATGAGAAATTCATTTTCAAAACACTAACAAAAGCAATATAGTATATGAGTAAATCAGCAAGAATAATAGGAGTATTTTATCAAGGAGGGGTATTTTGGGTATTATGTTAATTAGTTTGCAGCAACTTGCAACAGTGCTTATAAGAGGGTAGAGGGTACCGTATGTGCGTATCATGATTTCTCTTTTGTGAAATCTGGACATTGTTTCTTTTGGAGAGTGGCTTCTTGAATTTTCCAATTAGTACATCAATGGCTTCTTTGTGGATGCAAAAAGCTCCTCTAGTGCAAGCTTCTTTAATCCAACAAAATGTATAACATCAAACCTACATACATAGCCACCACAATCTAAACCTATTAGATTATTTCAACACAAATCACATATATGCATGATATAAGAATTGGACTAGTGAAAACAAGCTTAGTTTGTGGAGGCAAAAATGATATCTTCAATATCCAGACCTGATTTGTACGGTAAAATATGTTTTCAAAAAAGATAGATAGTTAAGAAATAGTGTACGTGATAATGAGCAAACCGTCGGGCGGTGGCCGGCGTGGAAGTAGGGAAGTAGTGTAGCAGCAGATGAATAGATGGGTGAACAAGCGAAACCGGGGACCGCCGTTTTAGGTTTTGTGGTGTTTACGAACATTCTGAGAACCAATAATAGTGATTTATCTCCATTCTCCAGCACAACTCACACAAATTGAGAAGGCGTTAGATTTTTACCATTAACGATGAATCGAAGAGGGAGTACCAAAAGTTACATACCACAAATCAAAGAGAACGAAACACGAATTGGAGAGACCGAAACCAGAGGATGATGAAGATCCCAACAACCGATTATGAGATGTTTTGCACCAAAATGAAGATCCAAGAAACTGATTTCTGCTTCGATGGATTAAGAATCAATGACTACTTCGTCTTCCACTTATAGAGTATTTAAGGGTTTTATGGAGATTCAGTTGAATAAACGGCCGTGAATGGGGAGGAGATGGAAGCCGGAAGAAAATCAAATGATCGTGGGTTTAGAAACTTAAGTGAGGATGATGTTGGTTGAGTCATTGATGATGTTTGAGGGAGGCGGCGTAAAGAATCATTCTTAGGGATTAAGGGAAAAGAGGGAAACAAAAATGGGGGAGAAAAAGGAAGGCGGTCATTTCTAATTTTTAGGATTTCAATCTCCCGCTCGTTGCTACTAAAGGAGGCGCGCGTTCACCTTAAAACTTATAAAACGACACCTAATTCTAGGTCAAGCGAAAAATGCGTGACTTTAATCCTTTAAATTTTATCAGAGATGACGTTTTTTTACGATACCCACTTTTGCGTATAATAAATCAGTGCGTGTCATATATTGCGTGTCCTTAAAGCCCTATTTTCTAGTAGTGTGAAGGCCTCCTTGTAATGCCAGTTATCCATCACTTGAATACTATCACATGTGGCAAGGCTCAAATAATCCTTTGAGTAAAAGACTCGTCCCTACAACAGTTAGACTCAGAAGAGAGCTGCATGTTAGGGTGTAAAATTATTCATGATTGACTTTGTAAATGTTTGACTTTTGTAAAACCCACTTGCATGTGGTGCATTAGCTTTTAGACCCATTTGTTAGTGAGAGTGAGAGAGAGATACATGTAAACACCTCTATATAAAGTGGACAAACCCACCTTATATAGAGGTGTTTACATCTCTCTCTCTCACTCTCACTAACAAATGGGTATAAAGGCTAATACACTACATGCAAGTGGGTTTTACAAAAGTCAAACATTTACAAAGTCAATCATGGATAACTTTGCACCCTAACATTCTCCCCCTCAAAGTTAGGAATGAATGACCTACTTCAAATCTTCCAAAATCAAGCACTACGCGGTTCGACCCTCAAAGGTGACACATGTCGAAATGAAATTCAATCTTCAATTCTTCCATAATTCTTTAATTTGGGCTCTAGTATGTGAGACCATACAATCCGAGCAGCAACGAATGATCAAGAGTATTCCAAACTCCAAATAATCACCCAATGTTGCGCATAAAAACACACCCCAAAAATCTTCAATAAATCCAAACCGAGCAGCAACGAATGATCGAATTTCCATATAAAACTTCTCCCCCTTTTTATAATCGAAATTTGATTATAAAACTTTCAAGGAAAAAGAACGTGCTCTATTTGGAATTTTTCATGTCAAAACTCCCCCTTAACATGTGGCATAAACTTTGTGCTTCAATCCGGAAAACCCAAAAAATATTCAATTTTTATTGTCGTTCACGGATCGCCTTTGACAAAATTTCTCAAAAATGGGTAGAAATTGTCAATTTCAAAATTCTGTAGTGACCCGTTGTGCCCAAAACAGCCAAATATGCAAAACATTCCCTTTTTTCCAAATCTGGGTAAAAAGCATCAATTTGCACAAACTGCAGGGGCCTAAAATGCACAATCTTCAATTTTCAGCAAAAACAGTCCTTTTCGAATTTGGGTATGAACCGCCAAACATTCGAAGCCTCAAGGACTATTTTCGAAAATTCTGCCATTTTGCACCAAACATGCGAAGAGTTGATCAAATATTCGAAATTTCAGAAAATATTCGAATGTGGGTGAAAAGTGTCAAACATTCGAAACTTCAGGGGTGATTTTCGAAACTTCAGGGGTGAAAAGTTATCCATGATTGACTTTGTAAATGTCTGACTTTTGTAAAACCCACTTGCATGTGGTGCATTAGCCTTTAGACCCATTTGTTAGTAAGAGTGAGAGAGAGACATGTAAACACCTCTATATAAGGTGGGTTTGTCCACTTGTAGAGGTGTGCTTGAGAGATATATTCATAGTTATTAGTGAGTGAGATATTTATGAAGCTCTAGTCGAGATCTGTTTTTGTACTCATTTACTATGATCCAATATATCTTTTAGCACCCAAATCACCATGTTCAATTGTGCAAGCTTTAATTCTGCATACCAAACCATGTTCTTTGTCACTACAATATATATAATTTATGAACATAAAAGAACCCTAGGAATACCTTATGATTATCGAAATTTTTACAGGAATTAGGGTTTACATACCTTTTGATTATTGTTATAAATAATCAATAAAATTCTTCTTGAACAAGCTCTAGAAAGCAAGCACCAAAAATCTCGTGCCTCTGATGGTTTATACCCAAACCCGAGAATTAGAACACTTGAGGAGAGAGGAGAGGGGAGATGATTTTTGAAATTCTTCTTGGAATTATGGTAGCCAAAAATCACAAGGTTAAGGCCCTATTTATAGCTGATAGGAAAACCCTAGATAACCATGATTTGAAATAAAATAATATTATTTCAAATCTTGTATTTATCTAGTTTCCTCCTTAATATTATCCACATTATCTATAAGGAATAATCTAGAAACCCTAAGGAGCTTTCAAATTTTCGATCTCCCTTAGAATTCTCTAGAATTCTTCTCTTGTTTAACTATTGAACAATTACAACTTAGATCCCTGCACTTTTAATTAATCAAATGAATCTCAAAATTAATCTTAATTAATTATTAATTAAATAATATTATTTTTAATTGATATATTAATCTCATAATATATTAATATATTATTTATTGTTATTTATTAATCATATAAGAAGCCAATAAATCAGCCTCTCTCTCCAAAAGTCAATCTAGTCGATTAGTAGATTTGAGGGCGATACAAAAGGACTTTGCTTTTAATTCAAGTATATATCAATTTAGTTATTGGCTTAGACACCTAATCTAACATAAATGTCTTTCTTCTGGGACGATTTTCTGGGTAATTTTTTGTGCAATTGGAACATAAAAAAACACAAATGTGGGTGGGTTCATGCCACAAGAAGATATGGGTGTGAGAGAGAATGTTAACATATATATAGGCTTTAAATTAAAATAAATACCATAATTAAAGGATAATACTTTAAATTAGTTTATACAAAATGACTTAATTGACCTTAATTAATTATTTAAAATCAGGAAAATCAATATTTAATGATTGGTCAGGAATCAGTTTTTATATTTACACAATATTTGTTCATATACATAGGATCCTAACACACTCACTCTCACTCACGCACTCACTCACTCTCTCTCTCTCTCTCTCTATATATATATAATATATTATATATATATATATATATATATATATATATATATATATATATATATATATATATATATATATTAATTTAAATATTTGTTATAAATAAAGAATATAATTTTAATGTTGCAACCTTGAACTAGTTATCTAATTTATTTATTTTTTTTTTCAATATGGATATGGTGTTAAATACAAAATCTAAATCAAAATATCAAATAAAGTTAAGAGATTTTAGATATTATTTGTTCTTAAATATTTTAATTTATTAATATACTATTAAAAGAAATTGAAATCAAATGTAACATCTATTTAAAGTTTTTTATAAATTATTTTTTTATAGTAATAAGTTTTTTAAAAAATATAGGTTTTTAATTAACTATCAACAATATATATATATATATATATATATATATATATATATATATATATATACACACACATATACATATATATATATATATATATATATATATAAACCAATATTTGATATTTTAATCATAAGTATTGATAAAAAAAATGGTCATATAAATTATATTCAAGTTTGATGGGTTTTGGTCATAAGACATCCTATGTGCTCATACAAACCCTAATGCTTGGATCTAGGCTTCTCTATTGTACATGCTTTGAATCCAAGACTATAAACCCTAATTCTAGCATACAAGTAATCATATTAACATAAGAATAAGCATATAATGTTACCTTGATTGCTATGTAGCAATAACAATCAAATTCCACCTTGAATTGACTTTGGAAGGCTTAGAGTCACAAGTGTCACTCCTCTAATGGCTTACAAACACCAAGAGCAAATGGAGAAGGTATAAAGAGAGAGGCGAGAGGTTAGAATTCGTCCTTAGGACTCCTTGGGAACAAGTACACGAATTCTAAGGCCTTAGGGTCTTTATATAGGTGTAGAGATAAGGTTTCAGTCATTATCTTTATCTAGTTGCTTATCCACAAAGCAACCATAAGATAAGCCTTGAAAACCCTTATCCTTTATCCTTTGGACGATTTCAAGGATCCTTATCTCCTTGAATTCGTTCAACCCATATTTAGTATAACCATTACCATATTTTGTAACTATCACATAATTACAATTCAACCCCTCTAGTTTAATTAATTACACTTGATCACAAAATTAATTCCTAATTAATTATTGACCAATATTAATTAAGCAAATATGATTTCTCTTGTAATATATTATTCTTATAACATATTAATAAATCATAATAACCTCTCTCTCTTTATTTATTTCTCCAATCAAGTTGCTTTGGTGAAGCCAACCCAAAAGGACCATGCACCATTGGGTCAAGTACATACCAAAATAGTTATGGACTTAGACACTAATCCAACAAAGTTAACTACAAGAATAAATAAAAATAATATAAAATTGAAAAGTATATTTAATCTTATTTATATGCAATTGGAGTACAATGGTAAAACACTTTAGAGACAAAAATCTGTAACATCCGGAATTTCAGGTATTATATTTATTCATTTTATTTTGAGTTTTGTGGAAGAACTCGGCGAGTTGCTGCGTAGACTCGCCAAGTAGAGATGCGATTTCTC